CAATTTCTTGATGGCAAATGATTACAAGAGGGGAACAATAGACAAGACCTTGTTCATAAGAACCAGGGGGAAACACTTGATTGTAGTACAAATTTATGTTGATGATATTTTATTTGGTGCTACTAATCAGGTTTTATGTGATGAATTTGCTAATCTTATGCAGAGTGAATTTGAAATGAGCATGATGGGAGAACTAGGATTCTTCCTAGGGCTGCAGATTAAGCAAATGGATGATGGAATAATGATCCATCAACAAAAGTACTTAAAAGAGTTGCTGAAAAAATTCGGCATGGAGAACAGCAAAGCTTATGATACACTTGTTCCCCCATTTACAAAATTAGATGCTGATCTTAAGGGAAAAGATGTTGAAGCTTCTCTTTATAGAGGAATGATAGGTTCTCTACTTTACCTAACAGCTAGTAGACCTGACATTGTGTTTTCTGTTGGTTTGTGTGCTAGGTTTCAAAGCAATCCAAAGGAATCTCACTTGAAGGCTGTTAGAAGGATACTTAGGTATCTTGTAGGAACAGCAAATCTGGGATTGTGGTACCCCAAAGGCAGTACCATTGATCTTATTGGATACACAGATGCAGATTATGCTGGTTTCTTAGTTGATAGAAAGAGCACATCAGGTATGGCACACTTTCTTGGCTCTTGTCTAATTTCATGGGGTTCTAAAAAGCAAAATTCAGTGGCCCTATCCACAGCAGAGTCTGAATATATAGCTGCAGCTTCATGCTGTTCCCAGCTACTGTGGATAAGGAACCAGCTGAAAGATTTTGGTGTTATTTATAAAAGTGTTCCTATTTTTTGTGATAACACTAGTGCAATCAATATTTCAAAGAATCCTGTGCAACACTCCAAGACAAAACACATTGAAATAAGACACCATTTTTTAAGAGACAATGTGGAAAAAGGATTGGTGGAGATGTTGTTTTGTAAAAGTGAAGATCAAATTGCTGATATCTTCACAAAGCCTTTGTGTAGAGAGTCTTTTTGTAGGTTAAGAGTCCTTTTAGGTCTAGTTAGATTTTAGGTATTGGCTTCAATTACTTCCTTCAATGATTGGTTAGAATGGTATTCTCTTGTATAGTGTGTGTACATACTTATGTTGATATCTTTCAAGTGTTGTGTAGATGGTTCAAAATCTCAAAAGGATTGAGAATCATTGTTGTAAGAAACAGGTGAAATCAGGCTGAATTGCCAGAAACAGCGTGACATGGTTCTATACAGGTACCAGCAAAGGAAAACAGCAGACCAGCTCTGATATGTCATCCGATAATATCTTTTATTTTCGGAAGATTACTATAAGATATTTCCTTTTGGAAGGAATTTATCTTATTTCAGTTATTTAATCCCATATAAAAGGCAAACATATCATATGCCTTATTTATAGTTGGTTGAGATAATTATGGTAAAAGATAATTACCAAATTTTTGATTTCAATTTAAAAAAATAAAAAAAAAAATATCCTTTACAGTTGCTTTTTATTGGCTCAACTAACTCTTTTCTTTCCTTCTTCTCTCTTTGTGCTTCATTGTTAAAAATATACACTAACCCTTTGTGCAGATCATCAATCATCATCACTCGAAATTCTCTTTCTCTCTCTCGTATGCTTTAAATTCATCATTGTTCATTCGGTTACTGTTCACTCAAGGAACCAGCTTAGTCTCAGGGGGAACATCAGAAGGAAGCTCAAATGTCCTTAAGCCCGAAGTTGGAGGAAATTCGGAAAAGTCAGAGTGAAGAGGATGAAATAGAGATTGTTGGTTACAATGAGGAGACACTCATTGTTAAGACCATGGTACGAAGTAGAGTAACTCAATCTTCATTAAAGAAGTTCACTGAGAAGGTGTAGGAGGAACAGTCCATTAATTCTCTTCCGGAAACCAAGAGAAAAAGGGTACCAGCAAGAACCTTTCACACCACAAAAGGGTGGAGGTCTTTGCTTGATTGATGTGGTGCTAGTCTTGTACTCGTTATGCAACAAGGAGAACTTTATGAATAAGTGCGGATCTCTCATGATTTATAAAAAAAAAAAAAAAAAAAAAAAAAAAAAAAAATAGAGGAACCAGCAGGTCAGGAAGTGGTTTTGAAACAGATTGGGGAATCACAAGAATATGCTTAGTAATATAATGATTTTGGTTTAAGCAGAGCATGGTGACAAGGATGAAGAGGAATCAGATGATAATACAGAAGATGTTGCAAAGTTCGAGGAGGAGGAAGGGAACGAGAATGATGATGAGGAGTGATGCTGTTTCTGTTCTTGTTTCCTCACCCTCATGTTTATTCTAAAATAACTGATTTTGTTGGTCTGTCTACTTCTCTCCATTCCATGAACTTTCTTTTTGGATGGATTTGGGCTTCTTTGGTTGAACTTTGTTGGCTTGTATGAACTACTAACTCTGCTATGGTATGAACTGTTTGACTAATCTCTTTTTGCAGCATAATGCTTGAATGGTGGTTGATGCCATTGTATGGATAAGCACATTAACTTGTGCACATTGCTTTTACTTGTGGATACTTTTTAATGATGCCAAAAGGGGGAAGTAGTTTGAAGTTGAAGCCTAAGGTTTAGCTAGTTTAGATTGAGTCAGTTTGAGTCTTTTTATTTCGTATTTTCTATTTTCTGTTTAGGGGACCAGTTAGCCTAACTGACTTGTTCCAAAGAGTTTTGAGTCCTTGAAGGTTTTGACGGTTTTCTTTTTGAGCATGTCCACAGGTTCAAGAACTTCAAGAGTTTGTCATCATCAAAAAGGGGGAATTTGTTGAGTCCCTTAGGTTTTGATTGATAGTTTTGAATGATGACAAACAGCTAAGGGAAACAGGTCTTTGAAAGTGTTCAATACAGTTGGGGGAACCAACTAAAATAGAACACTGTTTTCCTAGATAAGTTATTGATTATATGAGTTATCTATTGAACTAACTTATCTATATACAGGAAACAGTTAGATGATAAATGTGCTATGTACTGGTGGGGAACCAGTATGAACCGTTTCCTTGACTGCTATGCGGAAAAGCAGTCACATACTCTTTATTGTGCATTAACCATGTTACATGTGCAGTAGTTGAGTTGATTCCAAGACTTGGAGCATAGAAGCCTTTCGAAGATATTTCGAAGAAAGATTGTTTGCTCATAATAGAAGTATTCAAGGAAGATTCAAGTCTTGAAGATTACATGAAGAAAAGACGATTTATGCTTTAATATGTTATCTAGGTTTTCATGTAATATGCTCCGTAGTATGCTTGCATGTTTGGGTTATATAAGTGCTTAAAAGTATATTGAAGTATGATATGAAATCTGGTACAAAGTTGGAACAGGTTTCATAACATGTTTCAATTCAGGGAACCAGGTTGGGGAACCAGGTTCACTGTACGAAATATTCGAGCTGCCGTTTTGGAAAAAGATTTACAAAAAGATTTTTTCGAAAAGATTATTTTGAAAATATTTTGTGCAGCTGGAAATAAGATGAAATATTCTTGGTTACCTAAAAACTAGGAGTATTTATCTTAATTGATTCTATCTTTGTGATTAAATCAAATAAGATAAATACTTTCCTAAAATTACAATATATCTTATTCTCTAAGATTGTGTGATTTAAGGAAACTAGGTTTTAGGAATCTAAGCTTATATAAACTCATCTTATTTCACATATTTCGGGTGCCTCTCCAGAAATTAAAAAGAGCAATTATTTGAGAGCATATACTTAAGCACTAATCCCATTCATCAAGTCATATACAAGAGCATTCTAGTACAAAAACATTTTCTCTTAATTAGCTTCGTAGAAGTGAGATCAAAGGAGAGTTCTTGATTCTTGTATTGAGTCTTTAACAAAGGGGTTAAAGGCTGGGTGAGTGTTTGTGAGTTCAAACACATTGGGCTTACGAGTGTAAGTCGAGAGCACACTCGGAGTAGAGTGTGGGGTAGACTGGTTCCCGGAGTAGGGAAACAGTAGAGTGTTCTTTGTCTTTGTTTTTCGGAGTAGATTAATAAAAGACTTAGGATAGGAGGACGTAGGCCTGAGTTGGCTGAACCTCGTTAAATTTGTTGTGTTCTTTATTGCTTTGTTTTATTCCGCTGCATAAGGGAACCAGCACAACTGGTTCCTTACACATAATCCGAAAAGAAGCAAAAATCGCTAACGATTACTTAACACTCAATTCACCCCCCCCCCCCCTCTTGAGTGCCCATTGAACCTTCAAATCTTAAACCTCCTGCCTTAAAACTACTCCATGATATACTAATTTATACATACACCATACTAGTAGTAATAATCAATGTACCCCAATAATTTAAAAGTAAAAACGAATGATATTAAGTTTAATAATTTATTAGGGAGTAATAAAAGTAATTTATACATAGGGGCCGGTCCAACCTGACCTGTTAGGTGGAAGGTCGGTCCCCCTAGGTTTTGAGACTTTCAATTTTGATATTTTGAAAGTTGCATGATAATCCATGCATGTGGCTCATATTATAAAAATAAAAATAAAAATAAAATAATATAAAAAAAGCCACAAATTGATTTTGATATTGAGATAAAGGTCACAAGATCGTGGCAATTTTTGAAGCACTGATTCATTCATTGAAGATATTTATTTATAGGAAATAATTTTTTTATCTTCTTCTTGTAATCATATGTTAAAAGAAGTGGGAACATTGTGGCACATCGATCTACTCTGTAGTTGCTAGATTAGTTCCTTCTAAAGGAGTAGAGCAAACATTTTTAATCTCTTTTCCACAAAGATGTGATAATCTTGACATGCCCCCAATAATATATACATACGGAAATTTTTACCGGGCCTATTCGGGGTCAGACCCCCCTATATTATTATGATTAATTAGTTAATTAATTTAGACAATCTATATTTACTTATAAAATATTGGAATACAGTGATTAGTTTTGAGCGAGAGGTAAAATATTTAAATCCCACTCCTCTAATATTTTCGGCCAAGATTCGCCACTCAATATATAGTCCGTTAATTCTACTATTGAATGCAGATTTGTCCAATAATATCGTAATCTCTCGAAAACCAATATTTTGCAAGCCTTTGCTCCCCGAAGGGTATGGTCCGATCATCAATTTACCATACTTCGAACCAGATGAGTTCGTATCTAGGTTTGATCCAGGCATACTTAGAGAAAGAATATTCCATATTTCATCTAAGGCAATGTCGATGTTGAAAGCTAAGGCTAATGAAGAATGCGAAAATATTAATGATCACAATGTTATATCCTCGTTCCAAGCCTTATGTGCATTTATATGGATATCCATTACCCGTGTTAGAAATTTGGAACCAAGTTTAATGACAATTTGTCCATTTCCTTTGAATTGGCGAGCTCGAATTACACCCCCTTTATCCCAAGAGTGCTTCGGAAACTACGTTGAAGGATTGCAATGTGCTTGCAAGGTAGGCGACCTACTCGGCCATGGGTTGGGTTCGGCTGCATTGTTGATTCAACAAAGTGTAGAGGCTGTAGATGATAGTAAAATCCGACAACGCCTTTGTAGTTATGTTAAGGCTCCTTTTTTGGCAAAAACAGGCTCTACATATTATGAGCCTAATGGAGTCTTAATAGGCGGGTCTGCTAGATTTGATATGTACGGACCCGAATTTGGGCTTGGTAAAGCAGTGGCTGTTTTAGCTGGTTACTCTAACAAGGCTGATGGGAAGGTAACCGTGAACCCGGGTCGCGAAGGAGGAAGTTTAGATTTAGAGATATGTCTTAAACCGGAGACAATGAATGCTCTTGAATCCGATGAGGAGTTTATGAGTTTTGTCTTGGCAAAATGATGTACATGGAATTCGATTTCAATTTTTGAATAACTTTAATAATTATTTGTAACCATATTGGTTTTTTTTCCCTACCTCTGTTAATTATTATATGAAATAAAGGGGTATTATTTGTGAAACATAAAATATTTCTTTGTTGCCCGTAATAATTAACAGAGGTAGTATTTTATTTGGAAAGACAATTCGTTTTTATAAAATTCTTTTGAAATTTCAATATTAGCGCTTGGCCATTCATAATAACAATATTTTCTATACAATTGAAGTTTACAAACAAACTGATTTTAGTCACTTAATCAAAGTTATTAATAGTCAAATATATGCATTAAAGCTTCTACAAGTGTATCAAGCTTCTAGAAAGCAATGATGCACATAAATCTAATTATTAAAATTAATTAAATGCGACAATAATATTACATTTTATATTAGTTTCTATTGAAAGAGATAACACGAAATCACACACTAAGATTTTTAAGTCGTTCTATGTGAACCGTGTCTTATTAGCTGTGTCCTTGAGTAAATGACTAGATCTAATAATTTTGTTGTATTATTAATTTATTATGCCGTGTTGATTAGTGTTTTCATATTATTGTATTAATCGTTGTCCGTTGGCAAATTAAGAAACATATAATTTTGATAATTACTATTCGTAGTAGTATATAGAGTGAATAATTCAGCACAATTAGTTTATTTAGCTTAGCTTTACATGGAAAAAATCAAACTCATTTCAGAATGCTTTGTTAAGCCAAAATATGAGGTTGAAGCTGCTAAACAACCTTATCACTTGTCACCTAAAGATTTAGCCTTGTTATCACTTGATCCTATACAAAAAGGTCTTCTTTTTACCCTTAATACCCCACCTTCAGCTGATCATGTTTATGGTCGAATCGAAGTCGTATCTCATCTATTAGAGAGGCTTAAACACTCACTATCTATTGCCCTTGTTCATTTTTATCCGTTAGCGGGGCGTTTTGTAACATGTAAATACCCCGACGAGCACGCTTGTTCGGTCTACATTGATTGCAACAAAGGCCCCGGAGCAAGGCTCATTCATGCTACCGTGCTAGATGTTAGTGTTTTTGATATTATATCTTCGATTGATGTTCCGACTATTGTTTCATCTTTCTTTGAGCTTGGTGAAAAGATGGTTAATTATGATGGTCATACAAGGGCTTTATTGTCAATTCAAGTAACGGAACTCGTTTATGGGGTGTTTATGGGGTTTACCATAAGTCATAGTGTTGTCGATGGTACTTCTTTCATTCATTTTGTAAGTATCTTATCTGAAATTTTTAGATCAAATAATGAGCATATTAAAGATACCACAAAAATCTCACGTACACCCATCTTTAGTTATAATCCGTGTATAAAAAATGGTATTGATAACCAAAATGGTACGATTTTTAAGTTGCCTCATCTAGAGCCTGCGGAATTCATAACCCATGGATATGATCCTAGCCCGTTAAGGCATCGAATTTTTCACTTTTCTCATAAATCGCTAGTATCTCTGAAAGCCAAGGCTAATCAAGAATACAAAGCGAACAATGTAATATCCTCGTTTCAAGCTTTAACTGCTCTTGTTTGGAGGTCCATCACCCGAGCTCGAAACCTAACAACAGATCAATTAACCTCTTGTATCATTATACTCAACACTAGGACTCGGTTAAACCCAGTTTTATCTGATGATTACTTCGGAAATTTTGTTACCAAAGCCAAATGTGAATGTACTGTAGATGAGTTGTTGGGCCACAATTTGGGTTGGGCTGCAAAGAATTTACAGGAAGCCATTTTGGCCCAAGATGAAAAACGAATACTTGAGTTATGGAATCCTACTAAGGCCCTAGAAGTAAATCGTCGCAACCCAACTAATAATGGGCCAGAAAGTATCATTATAGGTGGGTCAGGAAGGTTTGATATGTATGGGCCTGAGTTTGGGCTGGGCCGTGCTTTGGCTATTCGTATGGGCTGCGCAAATTGGAAAGATGCAAAGGTGACTGTAAACCCAGGGTGTGAAGGCGGAGGGAGTATGGATTGGGAAATCTCTTTAAGGCCCCATGCTATGGCTACCCTTGAATCTGATTTCGAGTTTATGAGTTTCGTATCACTTTGATGTACTACCGTTACTTTTATGCATTTAAGGTAAGGAGAACGACACTTATCCTTAGAGTAACACTTTCCACTCGAAAACTGAATGTATCCAAGTGTATCTACTTGTACTCTGTATGTCTCGGCTCACATTAGTTGCACTATTTGTTTATAGAAACATTATAATTTCTAAATTACGTGCACCACATGTGGTTGCGTTAAGACAAACTTAAAGAAATATGTCACCATTTGATTGAGACGGATGAAATACTTAATGGTGCATGCCAGAGTAATCATCCAAATAAATCCACCAAAAACAAGCCAAGTGAAGTACACTTGAACAATTTGAGCACAACTACCATGGTCGAAATCAAACTCATCTCAGAAAGTTTTGTTAAACCAAAATATGAAGTTGAAGCTTTTAAACAACCTTTACATTTGTCACCTATTAAATCATTGTGTAGTCTTTAACACAAATAGGATACTTATATTATAGCATGATAATGCCTAAGGTGAAAAACACCCTGCCAAAAGAGGATAATAGGCTGCCAAAGGCTGTTGGCAGACCAGAAAATCGATAATTAGGGGGCAAACTAATCCTCTCCCAATTATTTGTGTAGTCGATGGTACCTCTCTCATCCATTTTGTTAGCATTTTGATAGCTCCAAAATTGATAGATCAAACTAGATTAAATCATTGTGTAGTCGATGGTACCTCTCTCATCCATTTTGTTAGCATGTTATCAGAAATTTTTAGATCATCTAGAATAACTTAGAACCGAAAGGAAAGTTTTAACCACTTAGGGTTATCTTTCACTCTCAAGTCTTGACTCTAGATGATTGTTGTAATTAAGATAAGGATAGAGGAAATTCTTATACAGACGAGTTTTGGTCAAGTAAATGGTTCGCCTTTTGTCTTTTTGTTTTGATTAGTATATCATCTTTGAAGTTTCTATTTTTAAAGACGTGTAAAATTGTGCTACTCACTCAATTTCCTTTCATTGAATTGTTGTGTTTTACTATAGAAAAGCCTAGTGCTCATAGACTTGAAGCAAGTTTTGTTTATATATATATATATATTGGTGTTTAGAGAACCGCAAAGACAGGTGTGAGAATCAATCTCAGGATTTTCTGAAATCGAGAGGAAAGCTCTAACCACTTAAACTATTCCTTACTCTGGGGCAAAAATATAGTGAATTGTCTTTTCTAATTTTCACCAAGACCCTACTACTAAAAAAATGTTTACTCAAAAAAAAAAAGGATTTTTGTAGGTGGTATTTTATTATCTATTGTGTGGTAACAAAAGAAGGGGCAGATTTATCCTAAATAAAAGCAAGTGTAAAACTTTTCTTTTTTTACAATATGCATTTACTTCACTTTGACTAACATTGATGATTTATATTTTAAAAAAGTTATATAGTCATATATAATCATGTTAGATTCGTCTCAAATTATACGTACTATTTTAATAATATTAAATGTTTATAATTTTTATATATTGGTAATTAAATATATTAGTGATTGAAATAACGCATTGACAAGCATGATAAGAGAAGTATTGCAAGTAAAAAAAAAAAAAGTAATTCAAGATATTGTATTAACATATTTCACTTCAATTACATACAAGTTAAGTATAACAGATCTTATTATATACACTTTAATTACATTTACTATATACATGTGTTTACTTTGTGTTCCTACTTTCTTTTTAGTTTGCATAACTTAACTAAAGCGGAAGTTTCAGACGAGTATTATTTGCATCACTTTCCTTTGTAGTTAATAAATTCTTTCTATTTCTATCTTATCATATCAGGCCATTTTTTTTATTAATCCCTTCTTTTTTTTATGTATCACTTTCCTTTTATAGGTGTTTTCTTAAAAAAATCACTTTTTTATTTGATAATTTTATACTATATTTTATCATTTCTATCTAAGTTGTGCCTTTATATTTCTTCAATTTCTCAATTGTACCCATGCTTTTACAAATTTACACACTGTACCAGTGTATCCTCAAAAGAGCAAAAAATTATACTACCTCCGTTACATATTATTTGCAACAATTTGACTTAAATTAGAGAGAAAAAATGTCTAGTATTAGCAAATAATGTGTAACGAAGGTAGTATAGGGTGGAGTGCATGGCCATCATTAGTGATGGTAGGTGAGACGACATTAAAGTCTGTCAAGTCTTCAACCCCTTTTCCCACTAAAAAGATAGTACACCCATTTTCATCTTAACTTGGCCCATCAATTATGCTCTGTTATACTTATACGAGCCCCAAAAAAAAAATCTAAAAGTTCAAAGATAATAAAAAATTCTGGAATTGTGTTCAAGATTGAATTCGAAAGTGAAGAGTAAGAGCAAAGGAGATTAAATTACGATAGAATGTATGAGTAGATACAGAAAAAGAAGGATTTTTTTGAACAATTTGTGTTTTGCGATTTACTATCGTTGGAATTATGTAGTAGAATTGTAGGACAATTTAAAATGAAAATACCATCAATGGCCAGTACCTTGTTGAACTGATGACACTTAGGGCATGTTCTCTTACGTTGAAGTTCAGTTCAGTTCAGTTCAGCTCAGTTCAGTTCAGTTCAGGTTCTAATTTCCTTCTCTTATAAAATATTCATTTCAGTTCAGCTCAGTTCAGTTTAGTTCAGCTCAATTCAATTCAGTTCAGTTCAGTTCAGTTGAGTTCAGTCAATCAGAACAAGCCCTTAGTTCGTAAATTTAGTTGTTTTTTTTTTTTTTACGGAAATTTAGTTGAATTTAGGGATTGTATAATTGGAAATATAGGTTGCCTGACCAAAATTAACCAGCCAAATTACAAGACAATCGTAATTAACTTAACTACCTGAATGCATTTTAACGGCAAGGATATAAATTGTTACAGTGTCAAAGGTTGAGAGTACGGTGTGTAAGTTTGTAAAAGTGTGGTACAACTGAGAGATAGATGGACTTGCATGAACCTATTATTGTGGACTCGAGATTTATACATGCGTAACTGACATTATATTAAATATAGTGACTCTTATTTTCAACATATTAACCTTATTTTTAACATACTAACCTTTATTAAAACTTATATAACGGTTAATATTATTGTGAACTTAATTGAATACGACGTTATGACCCTAATTTTAACATAGTGACCTTTATTATTCATATTGATCAGTATATAAAATTTTTCATTAAAAAAAATTAACCTCTTATGCCTATATATTTCTAAAATGACTTTTTATTTCAACATAGTGACCTTATTTTCTATTATAGTGACTTTTTTTATTAATCAAACAACCATAATTTCTCTAATATTAGTGATCTACAATAAATTAGTGTGAACCAGGTTCATTTAAGAATTTGTAACTGGGAAATTGAATAAAGATGGGGCATAGCTTAGAATTTCCCTAAATTATTTGTCATTTCTCTCTCCTCTAAGGTCCCCACTTATATAATATAAATATTTGCTCTCACTCATATATTTTATCTTTCATGGTCCTCATTTTACTTTGATTATAATAAATTATTCACTCATTCACAATATTATATTACTCTCCTAAAACTCCGCGCAACACCAAGTAATGCAAATAAAAAAAACAGAGGGGTATTATAATTATTCTCTATATCTACAAAAATTACCTAGAAGTTTGCAATCTGCAAAATGTACAAAATTATACAACTAAAAAAACGAGGGAAAGATATTGTTACATTTATTTATTTTTAAATAATTTGTATCAATAAAAAAATTAAAGGTAACGACGTTACACAATATGAATAATTGAAGCTATGCATAGTAATTACTACTTTTTTGTTATAAAACATTGGTGGGGTGTGGTATAACTTAAGTTATAAGTGAAAGTGTGACTTAGGGTTTGTTCACTTTAGCATAATTTTAGTTCATTTCATTTCAGTTCAGTTCAGCTCTTAAATTTTCTCTCATAAAGTATTTAGTTCAGTTTAAGTCCAATCAGTTCAGTTAACTCCAGTTCAGCTCAATTCACTAAATGTGAACAGACCCTTAATAAATGACAAATGTTATAAAAAAAAATGAAACAATCAACTATATATATATATATAAGCTGTAACGGTGCATAAGTATTAATAAGCCTAACAAACCCACCAAAAACAAGTATAAGCTGTACAGTTGAACAATTTGTTCTCAGCTTCTATGGCTCAAATAATACTCATCTCAGAAAGCTTTATCAAACCAAAATATGAAGTTGAAGCTTCAAAACATCCTTACCATTTATCACCTATTGAGATTGCCATGTTATCCATTGATCCCATTCAAAAAGGTCTCCTTTTTACCCTTAATAATACAATAACATCTAAAGATCGAACCAAACTAGTCTCTTGCTTGCTAGAGAAGCTCAAACATTCACTCTCAATCGCCCTCGTTCATTTCTATCCGTTAGCGGGTCGTCTTGCTACGCGAAAGTTCCCTGACGACCACGCTTGTTCGATATATGTTGATTGTAACAAAGGCCCCGGAGCAAGGCTCATCCATGCAACCACCCGTTTGAGAGAAGTTAAGGTTTCTGATATTATATCTTCAACTGATGTTAACAATATTGTTCATTTTTTCTTTGAACTCGGCGAAAAAATAGTTAATCATGATGGGCATACGAGGGCTTTGTTATCGATCCAGGTTACAGAACTCCTAGACGGTGTGTTTATAGGGTTTACTATGAACCATAGTGTAGTCGATGGTACATCTTTTACCCATTTTGTTAGCATGTTGTCTGAAATTTTTAGATCCGATGATCATACCACAAAAATATCTCATGTCCCCATATTTAATGTTAAGCCTTGGATAAATAATTATGTTAGTCCGAATAATACGCTAAAGCTACCCTATCTAGAACCAGAGGAGTTTATAGAACACGGGTATGAGACTGGTCCATTAAGGGAGCGAATCTTTCACTTCTCACCTGCATCATTGATTGCACTCAAGGCAAAAGCTAATGAAGAGTGTGAAACGCACACCAGCATATCCACATTTCAAGCATTAAGTGCTCTTGTGTGGAGATCCATCGCCCGAGCACGAAATTTGCCATTAAATCAATCAATTAGTTGTTCCATTTTAGTCAATGGGAGAAATAGATTGGACCCACCTTTATCAGATGAAAACTTTGGAAATGTTATATCGGTAGCCCAATTTACTTGTAGCGTGGATGATTTATTGGGCCATGGTTTGGGTTGGGCTTCTTTGAATTTGCACAAAACTATTGTGGCCCATGATGGAAAAGCAATACTAGACATGTATAAAGAATTTTCTGATGATCCAGTAGTATTTGGGCGCCAAGCGACATCGGACTTTCATGGGCCAAACAGAGTAATTATAGGAGGGTCAATGAGGTTTAATATGTTTGGGCCTGAATTCGGGTTGGGCCGGGCTGTTGCTGCCCGCATGGGCTATGCAAACAAAGAAGATGGTAAGGTCACTGCAAACCCAGGATGTGAAGGTGGTGGGAGTGTTGATTTGGAAATTTGCCTAAGACCTAATTTTATGGCTACTCTTGAAACTGATTCAGAATTCATGAATTATGTACTTTGTAGTCAAAATCCTTTACTATAGTTCATTTAACTGTTTTAATTCAATAAAAATGCGGTTAGAAGTTAAGCAGGTAGAAGTGTCTGATAAATCTACAGATAAATCTAATTAGAGAATTTTTCTAAAGTTTTATTAAAAAGTATTTATATGAATATATGAGTTAGATATTAGATGAATTCAAATTATTAGCCCTTTAATATAATTTATTGAATTTTTTTCACTTTTTGAATTTAGATATTAATGCTTGTCAAAAACTCAAAATCATATAATATTATACTCAGTATATATTATTACACATATCAATTTTATTTATTTAATTGATCACAAGACCTGCTGAAATCGGGAGAAAAGCTCTAACCACCTGAGCTATTTCTCACTCTCATTTTAAGCATTATTTTGAGAATAATTAAGGTTTTATTTCATTCTCAAAATAATTAAGGTTTTATAAAAATATCTTGAAAGGATACTCACTGATCACTATGGAGTATTTACTATAGAGTATAGAGTAGTAATGTACCAGACGTCCAGAACTTTTCTTCTTCAGTTTGTTTATGTTGACGAATGGTTCCTAAGCACAAAATAAATTACGGAGTACCTTGTTAACTCTTCAAAAAAAAAAAAACAAAAAAACAAACAAAAAAATTAATTTAAAATAATTGATTTTTTTTTTGACGGAAAAACAAGAAAATGCAATCAATAATATGGTAACAATATTAGATTGCGGGAGCTTTCAAAACCCAAGCCGAAATAAATTTTGGTACGTATCAAGATGTTAGTCGACAATATTTTTGAAATCAAGTGGAACCGTGGAAAGTTAACAATGTCGACACTATTGACAGGTTGATTATGACATTAGGCAATACTTTCTATTTGCGGTTATTTTTAAATACTTGCTCAATTTTCTTATTTGGAAAGCTTTTATAATATTTAATCAATTTATCTCACCTAGTGGTCCCAACATATATTCTCTCTCCTCCAATTCTCTCCATTACTTTTTCTTTCTATGGAGTATAATTTTCTATTCTTCCACCAACCCCACAACCTCCATATTTCATTACTTTCTCTAATTTCGCCTAAAATTCCGCGCATAGAGAAATAGAGCAAGTATTTAAAAATGGAGGGAGTATATTATAAAATTTAACTTTTAGTCCATAGTATATGACATAGTTAACATTGCTAATGTACGGAGTATTACTTTGTAATTTTACTTTATTTTTATATTATTAAATATTGATGAAAATTATATTATAAAACCCTATATTAATACCTATCAAATAATATATTTTATAATAAAATATGTTTTATTATGTTAGTAAAAAAATTATAATCAAAGTTAATACATAAATGGTGAAAAAAGTCTTACGTCTCATATATTCTGAAATGGAGGGAGTAATAACTTTTACTTCTATCTTTAGTTTACCCCATATCTTATTTTGATCTTTTTCTTAAAGATCAATAGTCCTTTTTCTTAATATAATAACACGCTCTTATCACTAAACCCACTATCATTCACTCATAATAGTGAAAAATTAAAGATAAATACACCTTCATTCACTTGGAATTTGGTTTAATCCTTAGCCTAATAAAGCACACTTTGCCTACGGGGCAATCAAACAGATGTGAATACAATGAGAATTAAGTATTCTCATTAAGTTATTAATGTCAGTGTGTTATTGTTAAATTCATCTCAATGTATACTTTTACGACATCAAAAATTTATAATTTTTGTCTATTACGATGAGTATCAAATTTTATGTTTTTGTCAATATATAAACAATTTGAAGACTATGCAAATTAGATATGAACCCTTTTGATTAATGAAATAAATTAAATGATTGAGTCTCCACCCCTTAATATGATGTTTGCTTCTTAATTTAGTGTGTAAGTACTCTAGAAATGTAATAAGGGAAATAAATTAAAACATTTTGAATTTGATTCACCAAAATGTAATCCTTTTGAAGATTAAACTACTATTATAAGTACTGATGAATACTTTAATTCACATCATGCTTCATTTGTATTTAAAATAAACTTTATCAATCAATTATGGGTAATTGTAAACTAATAATCCCACCTTTAGGTGGTCTTCCACAAACAATCCCACCTTTCTAAAATCCAGAAACAATCCCACCTATTCCCCCTATCTTCCATTAACGATCCTTTTTACAGGTTACCCCTTAAACCGGTGAACCTATTCTATTTCCCTCCCTAAAGTCTTTCTTCTCCAACGGTTTCCCCCCAAAAAAAACATAAGTTTCGCCATTTTTATGAAACAAAGTAACAATTAAAAAAAAATTAACTTTCAGAAACTTATCTTCATCGAAAGGACTGCAATTGTTCATTGATTGAAGGAAATTAAGGTCCTTAGCACAGCAATTCAAGGTGGGCTAATTAGAGGTAAATTTTCGACAAACCCTAGCTTTCTTAAATTTGCGAATTAAAGCAATTAAACGAAGATAGCTTCGATTTACATAGTGAAGAGTAATTTAAGTAGTTATTGAGACTGTTTGCGTATTGTAATGGGTCTTGCATGTTTGAGAATATATCATGGTGGGAAGTTTAAATTTGACAGTAATGGTTACTGGGTTTATTTGGGAGGGAAGTTCAGAACTTTTGATGTTGATGTTGATGAGTTGTGTTGGTTTTATATGAAGGAATTAGTTGCTAAATGTGGTAATTATTCTGGAAATTTCAAACTTTATTACTTAAATCCTGCACTTGACTTAAGGGGTGGGTTAAAGTCTGCATTTACTGATGATGAATTCAGAGAATTGGGTAGGGTAATGGTGGAGAACAGAACAGTAGACTTGTATGTAGTTGTTGATGATGTTCAGCCTGAATTTGTTAAACAATCCCAGACTGGATCCAATACCACAACCCAGCCCACTTCAGCCATTGTTGCCACAGAACATGAGCCCAATAGGCCCAAAAAATTGATACCTAAGAGAGCTGGCATTTTGAGTCAGGCATCTAGTGCAGTTTCAGAGAAGCTGCATGTGTTGGAAAAGTCTAAAGGCAAAGCAGTAGAAGTGGTCCCCACTCTAACAACAAACAAACAACTTCAACCATTTCCTAGATCTAGTACCTCCATTTCATTACCAAAAAACCCTAGTCAAACAACAGCAACCCCAACTCAAACAGAAAACACATTAAAGCCTCATTCTGAATTCATTAGATGTGAAGTGTCAGGGGACTATGATTGGGAGGAAGACAGACCTAATAGCCCCATTGCCATAGATGAGTTACTGTATGGTTTAGGAAGTGATGAAGATGATGATGATAGAGATTATGTGTTAGAAGATGATTTGGAGGGTGAGTCTGATGCAGATGAGTATGAGGATGAGGTTAATCTCAGAAATGAGTATGAGGAAGAGGATTGGCTAGGTGATTATGAGATTTATCAAGCTAACTTTGATTTAGATGGGGAAGATGATGATGTTAGTGACATTGAAGAGTTGAAGGAGCCAGAGGATTTTGATGCTGATAGTAATGATGATGAGCAAAGGGAGACAAGGGAAAGAGTGAAAGGTTTCAATTGTAGTGTAGTAGAATTGGCACAATCACTACAAGTTCAAGCTGCTAAGGGTAATTTAGCTGCACAACAGGAGGGGAACAAAGGGGGTGAGAGTAGTATACAGGTTGGGGAGACTAGTAAACAAGCTGGGGAGGGTGGAAAACAGGCTGGTTACAACTCTGAATATGAAGAATCTGATGAAGAAATTCACACACCTAGGGGAAGTGATGAAGAGGAGACAATTGGGGAAAGAAAGAGCAGGAGAGGTCTACTTGTAGGGCTTGAGACTGACTTTACTCAGTTTCAGTGGAAAGTTGGGCATAGATTTGCAAGTAGGGAGGACTTCAAGCAAGCTGTTGCTAAGTTTGCAATTTTTCAAGGTAGAAATCTAACTATTGTGACAGCAAATAAAAGTAGGCAACAAAGAATTGGTGTGAGGTGCAGTGAAGGGTGTCCTTTTAGGTTGTATGCCTCTTGGGACTCCTGGAGAGGTTCCTTTGTAGTTAAAACAGTAGTGTCAAACCATAGTTGCATCAGAACTATGGAGAAAAACAAGCAGCTGAAAGGGTCATGGTTGGCAGAACAACTACTTGATGTGTTTAAGGCTAGGCCTCATTGGCCAGCTAAAGAGATCATTGAAACAGTCAGGAGAGCTTACAGGGTTATCATTAGGAAAGAGTTTGCTTACAAGGTAAAGTGGCATGCTCACAAAAAGCTTCATGGCTCCATGAGAGAGCATTATGGGAAGGTTGGCAGGTATCTTGAAGCCTTGAAAAGGTCCAGTCCAAACACACAGTTGGACTTAGTCACATACATGGACAAGAATAAGCCACCACAGATTTTTCAGAGGTTGTATGTCTGTTTTGAGGGATTGCAAAAAGGTTGGATGGAGGGTTGCAGAAAAATTATATGTGTTGATGCTTGCTTTTTGAAGACATTCCTAGGGGGACAGTTGATGTCTGCTGTAGGCAGAGATGGGAATGATCAGATGTACCTAATTGCTTGGGCAGTGGTGGAGGGTGAAAATAATACTTCCTAGGAGTGGTTTCTGAATAACCTCAACAAAAGCCTTCAGCTTGGTGATGGTTCTGGAACTGTGATTGTGTCAGATGAGCATCAGGTATAAACTTCAACTGTTTTTGGTTTTTTTTTTTCCTGAATTCATTAATACATATATTTGGTTATGTTGGTTTTTTTTTGCTGAATTCATTAATACATATTGTTTTACTAGGCCATTCTAAGAGGGGTTAGTGTGACACTCCCTCAAGCTGAGCACAGACATTGTGCAAGACATATTTTTTCAAATTGGCACAAGAATTTCAGAGGTGATGAAATGAAATTGATGTTTTGGAGCTGTGCAAAGTCATATAGTGAAGCTGACTATAGAGATGCACTTAATGAGTTGGAGACAACTAATGCTGCAGCTGCTGCAGGCTTCAAAAGTTACAACCCAAATGTCTTCTGCAGGGCATTTTTGAAAACTGATGTGAAGGCAGATGCCATCACATCTAACATGGCTGAGACATTTAATGGGTATATCATTAATGCTAGGGCAAAACATTTTCTTTATATGTTGGAGGATATAAGGGCAGCTGTAATGAGGAGGTTGGTGATTAAGAGGCAGGAAATGGAAAAATGGAAGAGTGTTTTATGTCCAAGGATTCAGAAGAAGCTAGAATCAGAGAAAGAGGAAGCTGCTAATTGTGAGGTCATTCCTTCTTCACAGAGTGTGTTTCAAGTGAGCCATATCTTGGACACTATGTCTGTGGACCTAGAAAAAAGAACTTGCACATGCAGAAAATGGGACATGTGTGGGATCCCATGTTGCCATGCAGTGGCTGCAATTTTTTTCTGTCATAAGAAGGCAGAAGATTATGTTGATGAGTGTTATAAGAAGGAGATGTACTTGAAATTATATGGGAATTCAATCCCTCCAATTGAAGGTGAAAGGCATTGGCCTCAATCAGAGTTGAGTATGGATCCACCCCCCATCAAAGTAGGACCAGGAAGGCCAAGGAAGAATAGAAGAAAGGATCCATTTGAGGACCCTAAAAAGCCAGGAAAGTTGACCAAACATGGCATGGAAATGACATGCTCTGTGTGTCAACAAAAGGGCCATAGTAAGAGAAGGTGCCCTAACAGAGGAACTACTCTGCCACAAGCCCCACAAACCCCAAATGAGCCTCCAGCAAAGAGAGCAAGGGGTAGGCCAAGGAAAGAGGCTGCAGCTTCCCAACCTATGCACCCATGCTCTTCTACTCATCTAACAGCAACAGCTGAACCTTCAAGAATAGGAAGGGGAGGTAGAGTGATCAGCAGGGGAGACAACTCAGCTGGAAGGGGAACTGGCAGAGCTAGGGGAAGGGGTGCTCCAACTAGTAAGGGTGGGAGAACTGGTAGGGGAGGGGAAGCTTCAGGCAGTATGGGAAGAGGTGTTACCACAACAACAGGAGGTAACAGAGGTGGTAGAGGAACAAGGGGTGGTAGAGGATCAAGGGGTGGAAGAGGCAGAGGAAGAAATCAGGTCCCCCAAGGTTTTGGTGTTTATTTGACATCAGATGGCTCTACATTCACTAATGTATGACAGTAACTTATTGACTATTTTATTACAAAGCCTATTTATGTGGAAACAAAACTAACTCCTTTTTTATTTCAATGCAGCCACCAGGAAGTGCAGGACCTCAAGATGTTTCAGCATACACCACTACTTTCTTCTACAACTTCAGTAAGGGTTCCTCAAATTAGAACAACATGTAATAAGGATGTATTAGTTAGTTAAGATCAATGACATTCCTAAGTTTATGCAATTCAAACCTATGTTTATGTATCTTCATTTGAACAGAGTTTGTCTTGTATTTTGAAGAATTTCATGTTATGCTATATATGCTCTCTGTTTGTACAATTTTTTCATAGTATATATGTTGTATTAAAGTGTTTAAAACCATGGCTGCAACAACAATTAAATTGCAAGAATTTCAGCAACAACAATTTAACCAAGCAACATAAGTCATATATTCATTGAAATTGCCATGGTTACAAAAGTCAGTGAAGGTCAGCACCTACACTACAGTCAAGCCCTACTTCCTTCTTTAAGTCAAGCCTAGCCTACTGAATACCATCCTAGCATGCCAAATTAAGCAAAAAAACCAAACACTTTCACATCTGAAAACTACCCAAAATACAGATGTCCCAACCAACCCACAACCCACTTATACTACACATTCACAGCAACCCCAAAAAACTACCTTCACCCCATCATCAACACACCCTATTTCATCAACAGCACAAGGGTGAAAAATGCCCAAGAGAAGACCAGAGTAAGCATTAGCCTTTTGTCAGTGTTGTTTTCCTTGAGTTCAAACATTGTTTCAGTCGTTGCAATGCCCATTTCCTCCACCTCTTCAACCAGCTTCTCTTTCTTTGCCTTGAGCCTCTTCACTTTATCCTTCATCATGTCCATTTCATACTAAATCTCACAAATTCTGGTCTCCTTCTCCATAACCAAATGCTGCAGATCACGAACATCATCCACCTCATCAGCCCACTTGAAAAAGCCACAAGTCCTCTGCTCCTACAAATCACCCAAATTAGGCTATTACAGCAATAACAAAGCAAATTAAAAAAAAAACAACAATTTGGTGCGCAAATACTTACAGGCCAGTATGAGCACCCAAAAAACCGCTTCCCCTTTGTTGGACCATCGTAGCGCACTGTCCTCAGTGGTGCAATTTCATTGTGGTAGCAAACCACCTGAGAAGACGAGGTTTGCTTCGACCTCGACCTTGAAGAGGAGCCAATTGAATTATGACTTGCCATTGATAGCGAACTGGAAAAAAAAATAAAAGAAAGCTTTGAGTACAAGAGAAGAGATGAGATGAAGAAAGATGAAGAAAGATGAAAAAATTAATTGATGGGGGGGCAATTTATAAAATTCTCAGAGAAGAACAGGGGAGAAGGCATTAATGGTGTATAAGCTTTTTAACGGTTGGAAATTAAATTAGAAGAAACCGGTTGTTCTAAGCAATCTAATTTTTTAACCGGTTTCAACAGGTGAAGGATCGTTAATGGAAGATAGGGGGAATAGGTGGGATTGTTTCTGGATTTTAGAAAGGTGGGATTGTTTGTGGAAGACCACCTAAAGATGAGATTATTAGTTTACAATTTTCCATCAATTATTCAGTACATTCATTTCTTTCTTAATTGGTTAACCAAAAATGTGAGTGCTTCTCCTAAAAATCACACCACTACGTGTTCACGTTGTGACTACTTTTAATTTCGTTTTGTTTTATTAGGTTGATGATGACATGAGCGCAAACGCAACCCAAACCAAACGTCCAAATATTCCTCTCAATTATTCAGTACATTCATTTCTTTCTTAATTGGTTAACCAAAAATGTGAGTGCTTATAAAACGTATTGCATTAAAATAAACCTAAGTGTACTGCATTTACTTGTGTACATAATTTACCGTTCTCCTAAAAATCACACCACTACGTGTTCACGTTGTGACTACTTTTAATTTCGTTTTGTTTTAATTTCGTTTTGTTTTATTCAGTTCAGTTCAGCTCAGCTCAGTTCAGCTCAGTTCAGCTCTTAATTTATGTCTAATTATATTGCTAATGATATAAAGCCAAAACAACAACAACAACAACAACAACAACAACAACAACAACAACAATAATAATAATAATAATAATATTAATAATAATAATAATAATAATAATCAATAAGTAATAAGTAATAAATAATAATAATAACAATAATAATAATAATAATAATAAGGAAAAATTGATTCTAATAATCCCACCTTTTCCCGGTTCGCTATTAATAATCCCACCTTTCGATTATTATTTAATAATCCCACCTTTTACACTTTTTTCTTTAATTATATAGTATTTAATATATTTTCCATAAATTTTATAATTATATAGTATTTTTTCGTAAATATTTTAATATGTACATTTGTATATACACGTATGTATAGTAATAAATAATAAAAGATCACTAATCCGTAGTTAAAAATCACTAATTAATAAGTTCAGTTCAGTTCAGCTGAGTTCAGTCAATCAGAACATACCCTTAAGTGACTAAATGTAGTAGTTTTAGACTTTAATGCTCAACCCGCATAGGTTATGGAATTAATTCGAATTGATCCGACCCACTCTTACCCGACCCAAACCCGACCCGTTTACCCGAATTGACAGCTCTAGTTTTTCCTACTAAAAAAATACCTCAATCTGTGTGAAATACGTAAAATGAGGCATTTTTGATTAATTTTTGTCAATTCTGACCTCAACTTGGTCAAATCTATGAAAAACATGTTTTGTGCAAAAAAATCAAAGATTTATTTTGCATAAAACTATTTTTAGAATTTTTTGTGATAAAATATAACTTTAATTTTAGAAGTTTTGGAAGTAAAAAACAATGTTTTATTTATTTATTTATTTTTAATTTTGTGATAAGAGTAAAACCTTTATATATTTCCAAAAAAAGAAAGTATATAGGATATACTCGTACAGCGGTACAGTCATACTTACCTTTCTTTTTCATTCTATAAAAATCTTTTATTTATGTTTAGAATCTTTAATTTCTGTTTGGGTCCAATTTAGTCCAATTGGGCCTAGGTATTAAATGATCCAATTAAAAGCCCAAGGTCAAGGTTCATCTCTCCAATTGTGCTAAAGTCAAAGATCAGTCCTCAAGGCAAGCCAATTGGGCTAAGGCCCAACTTCTCCATATATGAAAAGGTATAAAAGCCATCAATATTACATTTGTACATTCATTCAAGCAAAGCCTCAAGCAATTAATTCTCTTGCATTGTGTTCTCTTTCTACACACTGTACTGACTTTAGCATCGGAGGGGTCTTACTCGGCAACACCACCGAGGCTAGTTTACGTGTGTTTACTGTGCAGGAAACCTTCGGCCCAACATTACTTGGATCGAATCTAGTCTTCTCCACTTCATCGGACCTTCGACAAGGTCCCATTGTTTTCACCCGAAACAATTTCTAAATGTAAAGTACCCCTCTAAAACCAGTGTCTATCAGACTTCTAGAAGCAAATGTATGAATGGAATGGTCCAGGGCAGATTCGTCAAAAAAATCTTACAATTACGTGAATCTTTTTACTCTATGTACTTCGACAAATTGACAACTAACACCATATATACACACCCACGAATAATAAAGTAGGCTACCTTATCTCAATTCAACCCTTGTGTACTCTAATTTTCCACATAAATCTAGCACCAAAGTAATCAACCTCAATCATTTATAACCTAAAGTTTTCATTCATTCATTCATTCCTTCTGCCTTTTCCATCCCATTTTTCTTCAATGGCTCAACAAAAACAACCATCAATTAAACTCATTTCAGAATGTTTTGTCAAACCAAAACATGAAGTTGAAGCTTCTAAACAACCTTACCATTTATCACCTCCTGAAATAGGCATGATGTCCATTGACCCTATTCAAAAAGGTCTTCTTTTTGCCATTAATAACAATACACCTTCTAATGATGCTAATGATCGAGTCAATGTTATTTCTAGTCTTTTAGACAAGCTTAAACACTCTCTTTCTATCGCCCTCGTTCACTTCTATCCGTTAGCCGGTCGATTCGTTACCGAGAAATACCCAGAAGAGCACGCTTGTATAATCTACATTGATTGTAACAAGGGTCCTGGTGCAAGGCTAATTCATGTTACTGCCCTAGAAGTTACGATTTCGGATATCGTGTCATCCACCGATGTTCCGCCCATTGTTCGATCATTTTTCGAGCTCGGTGATATAATGGTTAACCATGATGGTCATACGAGGGCTTTGTTATCGATCCAGGTAACGGAACTCCTAGACGGGGTGTTCATAGGTTTTACTATGAACCATAGTGTGGTAGATGGTACTTCTTTTTTACATTTTATTAGCCTGTTATCTGAAATTTTTGGGTCCCAGGAATATATTGGTCAAAAAAATACTTTGAAAATTTCACGTCCGCCAATTTTTAATTTAAAGCCTTGGGTAAGTCATGATCCCGAAAATATGGTTCCTGAGGTGATTAAATTGCCCCATTTAGAGCCCAAGGAATTCGTAGTCTATGCGGATCAAGGTCCGTTAAGGGAGCGAATTTTTCACTTCTCACCTACGTCGTTGGCTAATCTGAAAGCCAAGGCTAACCAAGAATGTGAAACCAATAATGTTATATCGTCGTTTCAAGCCTTAAGTGCACTTGTGTGGAGATCCATCACTCGAGCTCGAAACCTACCTTTGGATCAACCAACCACTTGTTCCGTGTTAATTGGTGCTAGGAGTAGGTTTGAGCCACCTTTATCTGATGAGTATTTTGGAAATTACATAAGCGGAACTCAATGGATATGCATTGTAGAGGAGTTATTGGGCCATAATTTGGGCTGGGTTGCAATGAATTTGCGAAAGGAAATTATGGCCCAAGATGAAAAAACTATACTTGGTATGTATCAGTTTTTTACTAAATCCCCAGTAGTGTTTACGCCTGGTGATGGTGGAAAAGAATTTCATGGACCAAACAAAGTGGTCATAGGAGGATCAGCGAGGTTCGATATGTATGGGCCTGAATTTGGGCTGGGCCGTGCTTTGGCTGTTCGCATGGGCTATGCGAATAAGGTTGATGGGAAGGTGACTGCAAACCCGGGGCGTGAGGGGAAAGGGAGTGTGGATTTGGAGATTTGCTTGAGACCTCAATTTATGTCTGCCCTTGAAGCTGATATGGATTTCATGAGCTACGTGTCGTGAACTTCGTACACTAAAAAGCTAGAACGACCTAACGAAAAATTATTGCAATGTGGATGTCGACTAGCTTGTTAGAATTTTTAAGGTAATATCGAGATTAAATTTTTACATTGAATATATCAAGTAAAATACATGTTGGTTTGAATTACTTTTCATCGTCATGTCATGTGTGATGTCATGGGCTCATGCCTCATGGGATGCAAGTATGTAACAATAAAGATTGAATTTTGTCCTGGTGATGTATGTTTGTTTTTCGATTTAAAAAAAATGATATGACTCACATGCGCACAAACGCAATTCAAGATATGCGTGCCAAATTGCCTGCTCTGAAAAAGATAGTGTTTGACTGTGGGAATTGGACATTCATTGAGGTGCTCATCTGCTGATTGGCCCAGGAAAATTAAATATACTGCGTAGGCTCTAAAATTGCGACCAAACAAAATAAAAAAGAAAAATAAATAAAATAAAAAATGGTGGAAAAATGTAGGAAGTTGAGCCCTTTTTTAAGCTTCTGAGCAGAGTTGAGTAGAGCAGAACACGTGTTATCAAAGTAGAGCAAATATCGACAAAGTAAAGCAAATTATTAATATTAAGTGGCAGCAGAATAGAGCTGGTGTCAACAGAGTTGGCAGATTATTAAAACTAAGTAGAGCTGGAAATAAGAGGATTTCAATAATAGAGCAGAACAGACCACGACACTCAAAGAAACAAGGCCTAACTTTAGAGGACAGGAGGAACATCCCGTAAATTAGATTGATATTGATTTACAAAAAATGTAAAACAACCACCTTTTAAGGGGAAAAATCAATGGATAAAATGAAAAGGTATCCTTCATTTATTAAGTGAAATAATAATGTACACCTTATTTATTTGCTCAAATGACCATGTAATCCCTTGATATACAATTTTTTGTACTTCAGACTTATAAATTTAATTTTTTCTCGTAGCTATGATCACGTACTACAACACATTATATCAATACGGAGTATAAAGTAGCTTTTATTACCTCATCCGTTCTTTAAATATTACATCATAAAGGAGAAAAAAATAATTTAATTTTACATTTTTTTTTGCAAAAATATTTGTTTTTCTAAGTTGGATATAGTGAAATTTTTGTTGTGAAACTTTTTTAAAAAGATAACTGGTGTAATACAAATTATTTCTATAATGGAGGAAATGTAAGATATCTATTCATACAAACCAAAAATTAAAGGCTGGTTAAGTATCACAGTATATTTTAATTTCTTACGTAATTTTTTTTTTGTCTGAAAAAATTTGTCAATTGCAGTCATTTGAAGTTTATATTTTACAAATTGTAGTAATTTTTTATAAAAAAGTTGCAAACCACGCCTAAAATATACTAATATCTTGATAATTGCCCCCGAATCCAAAATTTTCACTTAATTTGCATGTCAAGAAATAATTTACTGAGATTTTACGAGTCATTTCAGAATTTAAGAGACCAAATTGAGCTTGGAATCGATAAAAAATTAATGTAAGTGCCTCTAACCGTTGATGGTTAGACTCGGATCCCTTACAAAGATTTTTGGTCAAACATTTTTTTTAATTTCAAGGGAAATAAATAAAAAAAGGGATAAACGAATCCATATCCAGATATTAATGTATTATTATGGTTAGACTAAATCCATATCCTTTTTTTTTCAAAGGATCCGAATCCATTGAACCTGTTGATAAGTATTAGGTGACTCGTACTTCGTAGCTTTGTCCGCCCGATCGGGCGGACATTGCCCGGTCTGACCGGGCGGTGGGGGTTGGATACGTTGAAGCATTCGTATGGAGTTTTCTTCTCGCGCCCGATCGGGCAGACCTTGCCCGGTCTGACCGGGCGGAGAAGGAAAAATGCGGAGACGCGGATTTTACGATTTAAAGTTATCTTTTATGTTATCTTTTTGCCCAAGTATCTTTTATTTTAGGGATTAATTTAAAACCTCCCTAATATTAGTATAAGGGTTAAGAGAGAGAGAGTGAGAGCCGTTCTTGAGAAATACAAGAATCATCTTTGTAATCTTTGCAGTTTATAGTGAAATCATTCGATCTCGGTGCCCGTGGACGTAGCTATCACATCGATAGTGAACCACGTAAATTCTTGGTGTTGTTCTTATTGTTTGCATTGAATTTCTTTATTGTTTTCTTGTTTGTTTTTCGACCTTTGCTTCCGCTGTCGCACAACAATTGGTATCAGAGCCAGGTTCAATCCTTGGAGAGTTTCTTGAAGATAACAATGGCAGGAGATTCAACAATAAGAATTGAGAAGTTTACCGGGAAAAATAGTTTCGGGCTATGGCAAATTAAGATGAAGGCTCTGTTAAAACAACAGCAGATATGGCGTCCGTTGGCTCCAAAGAGTACTACTTCGGAGTCAGAAGATGGACCGACTGACCCGCAGTTAGAAGTTATGGAAGAGAAGGCACACTCTACCATATTACTTAGTCTTGATGATCAAATCATCACGGAGGTGGCTGATCAGGAAACGGCGGCTGGATTGTGGCTGAAGCTGGAGTCATTGTATATGACTAAGTCGTTGACCAACAAATTATTACTGAAACAGCGGTTGTTTAGCCTCCGGATGCAGTCAGGTACTTCCTTACGGGAACATCTAGAAAAACTTAACTCTATTTTGCTTGATTTACGTAATTTAGATGTTAAAATTGATGATGAGGATGCTGCGTTGATTTTACTTGTATCTCTACCGTCTAGCTTTGAGAATTTTGTAGAGTCTTTTGTTGTTGGTAAGGATTCTATAACCTTAGAAGAAGTGAAGGCAGCACTTCATACTAGGGAACTCAGAATGAAAGCTACGAGTGATAATGGGGATAATGGTAGTGGGTTGTTTGTTAAGTCCGGAAAGTCTAAAAAGAATAAGGGGTTTAACAAGGGGAACAATGCTGGGTCGGGTGCTGGAAACGGCAAGGATGGATCTAGTAAAACTACTACTAAAACATGTTATTACTGTAAAGAACCGGGTCACTTTAGGAATAATTGTCCGGTGAGGAAAAACAAGTCCCAGGCTGCTGTAGTTGAAGAGAAACCGAATGAGAGCTATAATTCAGAGGAAGATTTAGCATTAGTCAGTTCTGCTAGGTCTGATGATTTATCTGATAACTGGGTTCTAGATTCGGGGTGTTCGTTCCATATGTGTCCACGTCGAGATTGGTTTGATACATATGAACCTCGCAATGGGGGTATGGTTATAGTCGGTAACAATGCTCCATGTAAGGTCACAGGTATTGGTTCCATGAGGTTGAGGACTGTTGATGGGCGGAGGTTAACTTTGACTAATGTACGGCATGTTCCTGCTTTAGGAAAAAATCTGATTTCATTGGGTACCCTGGATGACTTGGGGTACAATGGTGTGTTTTCAGATGGGGAGTTGTGTATTTTCAGAGGTTCTGAGTTGGTACTTAAGGGTATCAAAAGGAACACCCTCTATGTTTTTGAGGGTGTTACACTGCCTAGTTCTGCGGTTTGCGCATCTGTATCTCACCAGGAGATGACTAAGATTTGGCACATGAGGCTTGGTCATATGGGGGAGAAGGGGATGCAGCTATTGTCCAAGAGGGGTCTTCTATCCGGGGTCAAGGTTGCCAACCTTGAATTTTGTGAGCATTGTGTGTTTGGTAAGAAACACAGGTCAAAGTTCAGCAAGGGTGCTCACATTACTGATGCAGTGCTCGATTACATCCATTCAGATTGCTGGGGTCCATCTAGAGTTGAAGGTATGGGAGGTTACCACTATTTTGTGTCATTTGTTGATGACAAGTCCCGATACACATGGCTTAGGTTGCTTAAGTCAAAGGATGAGGCCTTCAAAGTTTTCAAGCAATGGAAAGCTTTGGTGGAAAATCGACAAGGAAGGAAGATCAAGAAGCTACGAACGGACAATGGGCTAGAGTTTTGCAAAGACGAGTTTAATCAGTTCTGTGCAGATGAGGGTATAGGTCGGCATCATACTGTCAGGAAGACACCACAGCAGAACGGTGTAGCAGAACGGGTTAATCAGACACTGCTAGAGAGAGTTCGATGCATGCTCTCTAATGCAGGGCTTGGGAGGAGGTACTGGAGTGAAGCTGTGTTAACAGCTTGTTATGTCATTAATAGGGGTCCTCATTCTGGAATTGATTCCAAAATTCCGTTTGAGATCTGGAGTGGTAAGTTGCCTAATTTTTTCGAATTTGAAGATTTTTGGTTGTGTTGCTTATTATCATGTTATTGAGGGTAAGCTGGATCCACGAGCCAAGAAGGGGTGTTTTGTTGGGTACGGGGATGGTGTGAAGGGGTTTAGAATTTTTTCACCTTCGGAGGGTCGGGTCATTCTTAGTAGGGATGTTACTTTCGATGAAAACACCATGTATTCAATTAAAAATGCAGAGATTTCAGATTTGAGAAGGGAAGGAGACAATTTATTACAGACAGATGGGGTACTTGAGGTACATCAGTCTACCATTGCTGATTTACCTCGGGTACAATATATTGATGATGATGCTGATGTTCCAGTGCCGGGTACTCCTGAACCTGAGATTACTCCTACTCATTCTAACTCTGGGGATGAGGTGGAGCAATCTAATCAGGGGTCATCTAGTCAACCTGACACCATTCTTGAGATGCCTAAACGAGTTATCAAGAAGCCTGTTAGATTGATTGAAGAGATGGAGGGAAGAAATTGCTGTGTTGATGCGATGACAGGTTATGCATTGAGTGTAGCTGATGATGTAGAGTCATTTGAACCTGCCACATATAAACAAGCAATTAGTTGTAGTGAGTCTGCGCAATGGCTTGCCGCAATGGGTGAAGAGATGCAGTCTCTTTACAAGAACAGAGTGTGGGAACTGGTAAAGGTACCGGAAGGGAGGAAGCTTGTGGGTTGTAAATGGATTTACAAGAAGAAAGAAGGGTTGTCGGAAACTGAGCAAATACGTTTTAAGGCTAGGCTAGTTGCTAAGGGGTTCAGTCAGGTAGAAGGGGTTGATTTTGTTGAGATATTCTCACCTGTGGTTCGACATACTTCTATCCGTGTGTTATTGTCAATTGTAGCACATTTTGATCTTGAGCTGGAGCAGTTGGATGTTAAAACGGCTTTCCTTCATGGCGATTTGGAGGAGGAGATTCTGATGAAGCAGCCCGAAGGATTCGAAGTTCCTGGAAAGGAACACTATGCCTGCAGATTGCTAAAGTCATTGTATGGACTTAAGCAATCCCCCCGACAGTGGTACAAAAGGTTTGATTCTTTTATGGTTTCACAAGGTTTTGACAGGAATTCATATGATTGCTGTGTGTATCATAGTAAGCTGGATAATGGTTCCATGATTTATCTTTTGTTATATGTTGATGACATGTTGGTTGCCACAAAGAATAAATCTGATATTGCTAGATTAAAGGAGATGCTTAACTCGGAGTTTGACATGAAAGACTTGGGTGCAGCTAGGAAGATTTTGGGTATGGAGATCTACAGGGATCGGGCTAGAGGTAAGCTTTTCTTGACTCAGAAAAGCTACATTGAAAAGATTTTGTCTCGTTTTGGGATGGAAAAATCGAAGCCTATAAGTACGCCAACTACTGTTAGTTGTAAGTTGTCTTTGTCTATGTCACCTCAATCAGAGGAGGAGTTGTCTTATATGTCTAGAGTTCCATATGCAAACGCGGTTGGTTGTTTGATGTATGCTATGGTCTGTACTAGGCCGGATATTGCGCATGCTGTTAGTGTTGTAAGCAGGTTTATGGCTCGACCTGGGAGGGAACACTGGCAAGGGGTGAAAAGGATTTTTCGCTACCTGAGAGGGACAACTGATATTGGTCTTGTGTACGGGAATGGTAGGGAATGCTTGGTCACTGGGTACAGTGATTCTGATTATGCAGCTGATGTGGATACCAGGAGGTCTGTGACTGGTTATGTGTTCACTTTGGGTGGTTCTGTGGTTAGTTGGAAGTCTACATTGCAGTCATCAGTTACGTTGTCAACTACTGAAGCTGAGTATATGGCTTTAACTTCTGCAGCTAAGGAGTCTATTTGGCTCAAAGGCCTAGTAGGTGAACTGGGTATTGCACAGGATTTTGCTACAGTGTATTGTGATAGTCTAAGTGCGATTTGCTTAGCTAAAGATCAAGTACACCATGATCGGACGAAGCACATTGATGTCAGGTATCATTTCTTGCGTACTGACAAGAGGATTAAGGTGAAGAAGATTGGGACTGCTGACAACCCGGCTGATTTCTTCACTAAGCCTGTTCCGTTTAGCAAGTTTAAACATTGCTTAGACTTGCTAAATATTGATTACTACGTGATGTAGTAGGCCCTGAGGGGCGAAGTTGGGGAGCTCCTGGTGTAGGTGTGTTGGCCTTAAGGTGGAGCTTGCCCGGGGCTTGTGATGCAGGTGGAGCATTATGAGTTGTTATACTTGGAGACGAGTATGTGATGGGTCTTGGTTGAAGACTTATCGGGATGTATGGCTTATGCATGAGTCTTGCATCGGGTTTGGCTTGAGATGTTTTTCCACTATGTCTTGATGGGGTCGTTTGCTGACTACGAGTTCTCGTCAAGGTGGAGATTGTTGATAAGTATTAGGTGACTCGTACTTCGTAGCTTTGTCCGCCCGATCGGGCGGACATTGCCCGGTCTGACCGGGCGGTGGGGGTTGGATACGTTGAAGCATTCGTATGGAGTTTTCTTCTCGCGCCCGATCGGGCAGACCTTGCCCGGTCTGACCGGGCAGAGAAGGAAAAATGCGGAGACGCGGATTTTACGATTTAAAGTTATCTTTTATGTTATCTTTTTGCCCAAGTATCTTTTATTTTAGGGATTAATTTAAAACCTCCCTAATATTAGTATAAGGGTTAAGAGAGAGAGAGTGAGAGCCGTTCTTGAGAAATACAAGAATCATCTTTGTAATCTTTGCAGTTTATAGTGAAATCATTCGATCTCGGTGCCCGTGGACGTAGCTATCACATCGATAGTGAACCACGTAAATTCTTGGTGTTGTTCTTATTGTTTGCATTGAATTTCTTTATTGTTTTCTTGTTTGTTTTTCGACCTTTGCTTCCGCTGTCGCACAACAGAACCTAAATTTTAAATACCCATATTTGTATAAAAATGAATCCGGATCCACTGTTTTGGGTTGGGTCCATATCCATCCCATCTTTATCCACCTAATCAATTAAAATCCAACGAAGAGCTATAAATGAACAACCAAACATTACCATCCATTCATAAAAATGGCCAATCCTCAACAAGATAAAAAAGCACCCATCAACTTAATTTCCGAATGCTTTGTAAAACCAAAATATGAACCCACAAAACAGCCTTACCACTTAGGACCGATTGATTTACTTTTCTTAACTATTGATCCCATACAAAAAGGTCTTCTTTTTACACTAAATAATTCCCCAAGTTTTTCATCCTGTGAATCCCAAAATATTGAAAATGTTCGTACCAAAATTGTGTGTAATTTGCTAGAGAAGCTCAAATGTTCGCTTTCTATCGCCCTCGTACACTTTTACCCGTTAGCGGGTCGTTACACTATACAAAAGTACCCCGATGATAACGCTTGTTCGATATATGTTGATTGTAACAAAGGCCCTGGCGCGAGGTTCATCTATGCTACCGCCCTCGGCCTAGCCGTTTCGGATGTTCAATCCCCCGTTGATGTTTCCATCGTTCATCCTTTCTTTGATCTTGGTGAAAAATACGTAAACTACGATTGTCATACTAAGGCTTTGCTATCGATCCAGGTAACGGAACTTTTAGATGGGGTGTTTATTGGGTTTAGTATGAGTCATAGTGTTGTCGATGGTACCTCTTTTGTTCATTTTATGAACGTGTTGTCTGAAATATTTAGATCATTAGATAATCATAATAGTGAGGATGATGTCACAAATATTTCTAGTAGTGTACCAATTTTTAATTATAGGCCTTGGGATGTTCCGGTCCTTAAATTACCTTTTATTGATGTAGAGGAGTTTATCTATCGTGGGTATGATCCAGGCCCGTTAAGAGAGAGAATCTTTCACTTTTCACCGAGTTCGATGGCTAAGCTCAAGGCCGAGGCTAACCAAGAATGTGATACCAATAATGTTATATCGTCTTTTCAAGCCTTAACCGCGCTTGTGTGGAGGTCCATCACCCGGATCCAAAACTTACCTCAAGATCAACAAACCACTTGCTTTTTAGCTATGGGGGCCCGAAGCCGGCTTAACCCGCCCATATCAGATGACTACTTTGGGAATTTTATTAGTAGGGCCCAATGGGCTTGCAAGGTGGAGGAGTTATTGGGTAATAGTTTGGGCTGGGTAGCAATGAATTTGAATAAAATCATTAAGGCTAATGATGGGAAAGAAATACTTGATTACTACAAAATGCTTGTTAATCCACCAATTGTGGTTCCAAGAGGAATCGAACCTGATGTTCATGGTATGAATAGCGTGATTATGGGTGGATCTGCAAGGTTTGATATATATGGGCCTGAATTCGGGTTGGGTCGGGCTTTGGCTGCTCGAATGGGCTATGGGAACGAGGATGGGAAGATCACTGCAAATCCTGGATGTGAAGGTGGTGGAAGTGTTGATTTGGAGATTTGCCTTGGGCCTCATATTATGGCTGCTCTTGAAGATAATCAAGAGTTTATGAGTTTTGTATCTTGAGTTGATTACCACTCTTTAATGGCTCATTTGATAAGCGATTATCAATCATGGCAATGGTAAATTGGTAATGAATATGTGTGTGAATTTGTGAAGCAAAGGATACCACTTACCACCCACATCATATCCCAAGTAGGTGGGATGCGTCCTAAATAGAGACATAAGAGTAAATGATGTAAAACGGAATTTAAATTTGGGTTTTGAGTATCACCCCTCTAGATTTTAATTAATTAAGTAAAGTAGTTGATCATCCACTTAAATATACTGCGTAATATGTTACAAAGAGTGGACACTAGATTTTATAATTTACTTAGTATTTATTTATTGGGATTTTATCACTGGTTCCCTCAAAGATTTGACTTTTATCAATGGTGCACCTCATTAAGTTTTCATTATCAGCGGTGCCCCTAATATATTAGCCTAATTGCTACAGTGATCTTTTTTTATTTCAACCGTTAATTAAACGTTAACTAAGGGGTTTTGGCTTGTTTAAGGAGTATGGGAGATAGAAATACTAAAATGCCCTTACCCTAAGTACTCCCTCCAAAATTCTTGTTATTTTTCCCTCCCTTTTTATTCGATTTTTCCCTCTTTCCTCTCTCTTCTATTTAAACTCTGTGGTTCTTTACATTTCTATCTTCTCTTCCCTACTCCTCTTCTCTTCTCTTATTTTCTCTTTTAAAACTCATACTCATCAATGGCTTCTTCTGGCAGGGATGAATCTTCAAGGAGAATCAGTGTTGAAGGGGCTTGGTTCAGAGGCATGAACTGCAATTGCCAACCACCAAGATATGCATACATTAGGTTTTCGAACTCAATATCGAATCCTAGAAGGGCGTATTATAAGTGTAGGGTCTGTGATTTTTTTATGTGGGTCAGGGAAGATCAAATGTTAAGGGACAGTGGAGGGAGGCAAGGAGATGCAACATATATACATGCATTAAGGGCTGAATTTGCAGAGTTTATGCGCAAGACTGATGAATTTGCTAATTTTATGTACATGGTAGTGAAATTGGTTGTGGTGATGTATTTGGTGTTGCTTGTAGTTACTTTGAAATAGATGAAATTAGTTAATGTCATGTAATTGTGAACCTCTAATGTAGTTGGTGTTTTATTTTGGAATAAAAACATGGGTTTATTGGGATATTTTGCATATTTTGGAATAAAGACAGGAGTAAATTTTTGACAATAAAATAAGTGCATTACCAATTCACAAAGTGTCAAAAACAGAAGACTTAATTGATCATAAGTAATTGATCCCAAAACAAGAGGTCAACTGTTTGCATAAAATTTGTTCCAAAAAACAACTTAATCATAGTTATAGGTTGATGCTAAAAACCTCTTGACATTTGTTCCAACACTAAAAAAAGTAAGTTTCAAGACAAAAAAAAAAGTAAGTTCCCTAAGATTATTACATCAGCAGAACTAGACAACTAGCATATTAGCTTCATGGCTGTGACTGAGACAAGTCTTGAGGTTGGCTAGACATCTGAGATGAAGAGATCTCTGTTGCAGCTCCAGCAGCCTTGGAATTTGCAGCAGCTTCCTTGGAAGCCTTTGATTGATCCCTCACCCTTGGATTTTTAACCACCAATGCCTCACTTGCCTTTAATTCCTTCCCAGTTAGACCTCCCTTGCAAGTCTTTTTGTTGTGGCTAAAATTACCACAGCTGCTGCATCTCACAGTTCTTGCCCTCTTTCCTGGTTGCTCTTCACCCTCTTCCCTTCTTCTGTTTCTGCTGGGCCTTCCAACACCTCTCTTCATCTTTAGTGGGGCAATCTGGTTGGGGTGGTTAGGATCAGCTGGTGGCCACTGAGAGAAATCTGGAATTGGGTGTATGGCATGGCAGTAGACCTGCTTGTATGTCTTTGCTGAATACCAAGAGCTCACATAGTTGTGAGGATCAACTTTAGCATGAAGCATAGCTCTCACTGCATGTCTGCAGGGGATACCAAACAACTGTCAAGCTCCACATGAGCATATTTTGTTGTTGAGACTTAGAGGGAATTGAGACTTCCCCTCATGAATCTCATACTCTCCAGGACTTGACTGATATTCTCTGCATGTGCTTGTAGCTTTGCTGATTTCTCTGAGAAGCTTAGCTATTTTAGGGCACAAGTCCTCATCATTCCAGTCTTGTGCCCTTTCATGCCTTGATGCAATTCTCACCATGCAGACTCTTCTAATTCCTGTTTCAGATGATAAATAAAGGAACATTAGCACACATTTCATCCAAGTCAGCAAACATTATATTCATTTATAGTCACATATACCTTCAAGCAGTGTTAAAACTGGTCTGCATCTGTCTACCCCAAGTGTTGAATTGAAACTTTCAACAAAATTTGAGGTGTTGGAGTCATTGCACACATTTGGATCAAACTTATGTTTGCTCCACTTTGCCTGATCACCCAAATCAGCAAAACATTTCATCACATCTGCTCCCCCTTCCTTTTGTAGCCTTTCCATAGCCTTTCTGAAGCTGTACACATTAGTGGCATTGCATGCCCTCCAGAACAAGATGTACATCAAAGGCCAAGGAAAAGCTTTCTTGTAATTCCTACTCAAATGTCTGCAGCAGTATCTTCTCTTTGCATCTGGCCACACATTGGTCAATGCAATATCTACTCCCTGAGATCAGCCAACATACACAAGCATTAGTTATAATTATGTAATGAACATACTCAAAATTGAACAAAAAAGAGAGGTTAAGACTTAAACCTTCTGTCTGTCAGAAATGATGGTCCAGTCTTTCCTCCTGATTCCTTGATAATGTTGTAGATTTGCCAAAGAAAGTATGACCATGTCTCTTTGTCTTCTCCACTTACTATAGCATATGCTAATGGGAATATTTCATTGTTGCCATCAATTGCAACTGCATACAACAGTACACCCCCATAATTTCCTTTCAAATGGGCCCCATCAACCCCAATCAATGGTCTGCACCCAGCAAGGAATCCCTTCCATTGTCCAGCAAAGCTGATGAACATAGTACTGAACAAGTTGACCCTAGGTATGCTCTCACTTAAGGTCCAACCAATAAATGCCTTAGACTCTGGGTTAGTGGCACATATCATGTCAGCATACCTAGGCAAATGAGAGTAAGGCTCATCATGGCCACCAAAAAGCTCTTCAATCACATACTTCTTTAGCCTGTATAATGATGCTTGTTTCATGTATATCCCAAACCTTTGAAACAGAAGCTCATTTAAAGCCTTCCCTGGAATATCTGGAGCTGCCCTGATATCTTCCATCACCTTAGGAGCAGCCCACTTGACAGTGCATATAGGGTTGTAGGTCTCCAAACCTCTGCAGTTATGAACATCAGGCCAAATCTTCTTAATTGCCCATGTCTTCCCATCAGACAACCTACTAGCATGAAGTCTCCATTCACAACACTCTGCATAGCATTTGACAGTGTACCTTTTGTTGTCTGCAACTATGACATTCAAAGCAAAACCCTCTTGCACAACATAATCTTTAAGTGTTTCTCTCAAATGGGCCTTATCTATGAACAACATCCATGGTCTAACAGTAATTTTTCCAAACTTGACCTCTTCATACACCTCTCCCTGCCCATACAGCTTCTTGAAGTAGTCATCATCATCATCTGAGTCCACAAACCCAGCCCAAAACCCAGCCTCCCAGTTGTCTTCTATGTGGGGTACACAGTTCACTTCCACCCTTTCATCTTCAAGTACCTCTCCAGTAGGGACCACCTCCAAATCAGAATCATCATTAGCATCAAAATCATTACCCTCAAAAATCATCATCTTCACTATCATCACCAGTAGAACTGCTAGACTCACTAGGGTCACCCCCACCATCTCCAGCATACACTATCTTCCTCCTAGCTCTAGGTTCACTAGGCTCAGCAGATTTTTTTGCCTCAATTGTTCCCTTAGACTTAGCACTAATCAAAATCCCTTTCCTTCTAGCAGTGGTCTTTGAAATTTTCCTAGCAAATAAGGTAGGGTCAGTGATAGGTGTAGTCTGTCTAGGGTGAGGACTAGAAGAAGGAAGCACATTGGTTTGAATTGTGGGTTGGATAGGTGAGAACCTAGAGCTTCTTTTAACTAGCAATGTTTTGAAGACAGTGTGTGGGGATATGGGAGATGGGGGGTACTTCTCACCACCAGAGGTTACTACCCTCTCCATGTCTTTCTCACTTAATTTTCCTTTCCCTTTCCCTTTCCCTGTCTCACTTACCTTCCCTTTCCCTTTTGATTTTACCCCAGGAGAACTCACTGTAGCCTTAGCCTTCTCACAAACTTTCTCAAACTCTTTCCTACCCTTAGTATATTCCTTCCTTGACTGAGCATTGTCCTCATCATTGCCTTCCTCATTCTCTTGCATCAAATCAGCCCAAGTAACATCAGGATCATAGTTAAACTCACTCCCTAGCATATTCACTAATGGGGGACTGGTAGGAGCTTCACAGTCATTACCCTCATCAAGGTACTTCTTTACTAGCCTCCTTCTAGGTTTAAGCTTGGTTGTCTCACCCTGAATTGTATAGTTAATGGTATAATTGGGTGAAGCTGGTGCATGAGTAAGAGGTGGTTGTGTTTCAATTGTAGGAGGTGGTTGTGTTTCAATTGTTGGAGGTGGCTGTGTTTCAATTGTTGGATTACTTACAAGGGGTGGTGAGTCTGGTTCATCTGTTGGAGGTGGTGGAAAGTTTCCTACTTCAGCAACTATTTTGTTTCTCCTAAACTCAGAAACAAGGTCATTCATGTAACTACTCCTAACAGGGTTAGTACCAACCAGAATCTCATACATTTTTGCCCCTGGAAAAGTCCTAAACATCCTTTGCACACCACCATCATCATCAATAGGCTAATGTTTGCCTCTATAAGCATAAGCAAATATAGGATTCACTATTACTACCCCTCTTTTTTGTAACTCATCCTCAAAATCTATAATCAAATCCATGAGGTTACATCTATCAACATCCACTTCAATATCAACTCTATGCACTTTATACTTAAATCTGAACAATACTATGTCATCCATTATGCACAAATCATAGTACACTACCATTTAAACAATACTCAACACAAAATATCATCA